TGACACCAATGATGGGACACTATTCCTCCCACTGACACCAATGATGGGGCACTATTCCTCCCACTGACACCAACGATGGGGCACTATTCCTCCCACTGACATCAACGATGGGGCACTATTCCTCCCACTGACACCAACGATGGGGCACTATTCCTCCCACTGACACCAATGATGGGGCACTATTCCTCCCACTGACACCAATGATGGGGTACTATTCCTCCCACTGACACCAATGATGGGGCACTATTCCTCCCACTGACACCAATGATGGGGCACTATTCCTCCCACTGACACCAATGATGGGACACTATTCCTTCCACTGACACCAATGATGGGACACTATTCCTTCCACTGACACCAATGATGGGACACTATTCCTCCCACTGACACCAATGATGGGGCACTATTCCTCCCACTGATACCAATGATGGGTTACTAGTCCTCCCAATGACACCAAAGATGGGCTTCTATTCCCCCCAGTGACACCAGTGATAGGGCCCTATTCCTCCCACTGACACCAATGATGGGGCACTATTCCTCCCACTGACACCAACGATGGGGCACTATTCCTCCCACTGACATCAACGATGGGGCACTATTCCTCCCACTGACACCAACGATGGGGCACTATTCCTCCCACTGACACCAATGATGGGGCACTATTCCTCCCACTGACACCAATGATGGGGTACTATTCCTCCCACTGACACCAATGATGGGGCACTATTCCTCCCACTGACACCAATGATGGGGCACTATTCCTCCCACTGACACCAATGATGGGACACTATTCCTTCCACTGACACCAATGATGGGACACTATTCCTTCCACTGACACCAATGATGGGACACTATTCCTCCCACTGACACCAATGATGGGGCACTATTCCTCCCACTGATACCAATGATGGGTTACTAGTCCTCCCAATGACACCAAAGATGGGCTTCTATTCCCCCCAGTGACACCAGTGATAGGGCCCTATTCCTCCCACTGACACCAATGATGGGGCACTATTCCCTCCCACTCCCACTGACACCAATGATGGTGCACTATTCCTTTCACTGATGACATGTCCTTTGTCATTTTTTTTTTACTCTGAATGACCACCAAGCCTGAGGCATTCAGTCCAGCTCCCTAAAGTCTGAAGAGCAATAAACTGGCCCTTTGTTTAGGAGGTTTGGAGGCCCCTGGCAAAAAGTAAAGGACGGTCCATGTACAAGAGTAAAGTCTTGATGGTCATCATGGTATTAGTGGGAATACTGAAGGTGAGCGGGATCCCTGTTCTCGCTACGCTGAGTTCACACGGAGCCTCAAATAACCCAAGGCTTCTCCGGGCCGCCATGCCCTCCAGTCATACTCCACCAAGGCTTGCCGTACCAGACGTCAGATATGGACAAACCACAAGTGGTGCTGTAGATGTTCCTAAAGAACATGCCACCCTCCTGCACTGTCTCTGGTTTCTGCCTCTTAGCAGACTCACTAGGTGGTTGGACTAATTGCAGTGAGCGGTTCCACAGAGAGACCGCACTGTTTATCCTGATGTGTCGCCCTGAAAACGAAGGATGATTCATGTGTCCGCTATTCCCAGACACTTCCACTATTTCTACCTCGCAGTTTGAAATTATCCCGTTTACTTGGGTGTTGTTTGAAAGTAAAATTATAATAGTTTGTTGCAATTTTTTCTTTCCTTGTCCTTTTATTTTTTATTTTTTTTTTTTTTATATTTAGACCAGATGCATAGAGTGTGTGTATAAATAAAATAAAAAAAGTATATGTGTGTGTGTATAAAATATATATATTATATATATATATAAATAAATTAAAAAAATTAAATATAAAAATATATATATATATATATAAATAAATTAAAAAAATTAAATATAAATATATATATATATATGCTTTATATATAATATATATATATATATATATATATATATATATATTTATACACACACATATCATTTTTTTTTTTATATATATTGCACATATATATATATATATATTTATACACACACATATCATTTTTTTTATATATATATACATTATATATATATATATATATATATACTCATACATACACACACACACTATGCATCTGGTCTAAATATAAAAAAAAAGAAAATAGAAAATTGCAACAAACTATAATAATTTTATTATACTTAGAAAAAAAATTATATAAATATATATAGCCTTGGAAATGAATAATATTTTCATACACAAAGGATTCATAAAGCACTGAGGGTTAGCTGAAGAGATAGCACAGATTCTTGCTGTGAGGCGCACGTCTGATTCAAACTTTGCAGTGAGCCATTGATTGGGACAAGTAGTGGAGCTGTGTGCAAATGACGGGTTGTTTTCAGCAAAGAGGCAAACAAAGAGCCTCTAAAATAGGGGCCCCAAAGGGTTAGTGTTTGTCAGACTGCTTGTGGTCCCAACTATGATCTGTAGAAATAAAATAATTCCCCAAAAATGGAGGTTCGTGGGAGTAAATGCCTTTGTAGTGGTGATCAATGGGGAGTAAAAAAAAGTCACTGCATCAGTAAGAGGAATGGTGCAGTGGGGACCATCATTATTTGATTAAGTGGGAGAAATAGTGCCCCATCATTGGTGTCAGTGGGAGGAATAGTGCCCCATCATTGGTGTCAGTGGGAGGAATAGTTCCCCATCATTTGGTGTCAGTGGGAGGAATAGTGCCCCATCATTGGTGTCAGTGGGAGGAATAGTGCCCCCATCATTGGTGTCAGTGGGAGGAATAGTGCCCCATCATTGGTGTCAGTGGGAGGAATAGTGCCCCATCATTGGTGTCAGTGGGAGGATAGTGCCCCATCATTGGTATCAGTGGGAGGAATAGTGCCCCATCATTGGTGTCAGTGGGAGGAATAGTGCCCCATCATTGGTGTCAGTGGGAGGAATAGCGCCCCATCATTGGTGTCAGTGGGAGGAATAGCGCCCCATCATTGGTGTCAGTGGGAGGAATAGCGCCCCATCATTGGTGTCAGTGGAGGAATAGTGCCCCATCATTGGTGTCAATGGGAGGAATAGTGTCCCATCATTGGTGTCAGTGGGAGGAATAGTGCCCCATCATTGGTATCAGTGGGAGGAATAGTGTCCCCATCATTGGTGTCAGTGGGAGGAATAGTGTGCCCCATCATTGGTGTCACTGGGAGGAATAGTGCTCCATCATTGGTGTCAGTGGGAGGAATAGTGCTCCATCATTGGTGTCAGTGGGAGGAATAGTGCCCCATCATTGGTATCAGTAGGAGGAATAGTGCTCCATCATTGGTGTCAGTGGGAGGAATAGAGTCCGATCATTGGTGTCAGTGGGGGAGGAATAGTACCCCATCATTGGTGTCAGTGGGAGGAATAGAGTCCCATCATTGGTGTCAGTGGGAGGAATAGTACCCCATCATTTGTGTCACCGAGAGTGTTGGTGTTAAGAAGTGGAATAGTGGTCTATTGTTGGTGTCAGTGGAAGGATTAGTTCCCCATCTTTCGTGGCAGTAGAATGAATAGTGCCCTATTATTTGTGTTAATGGAAAGAAAGGTGCTTCATTGTTGGTGTCAGTGGGATTAGGAAATCCTACTTGGCATTGGTGCTTAGTGGACACTTATCTTTAGACGAGTTTTACGTCCATTGCAGCTGCTCTATTGCTCAGATAATGTCACGGCTGGGACTATGCAAGAGATCGCTCCAGCTGACTGGGCTGACCTGCTGGTGGCACTGTGGTTCCTTGGGCGGAGATTTGTAATTCCAGTATCCACCAGAGGGTGTCTCCCAGCAGCAAGCAGATCTCAGTAACTAGTTTCAACCCGATGCTGGCTGCTGGGAGGGTATTTAGGTCCTCCCTACTAGTGCCTCTCACTCCTGATCTTGCTCCTGCTCTGCATCCTGTTCCCTGTCTGCTCCCGTTAGTCCTGATTCTGGTTCCCCCTTCCCATCCTCTCCCGGCATCTCCAGTTTACCTTGTTGATCTGTGGCACCTATTTTGTATATATTTTATATAGTTAGGCTGCCTGTTTGTTACTTATCAGTCAGGAATTCTGTCTCCGGGATTTCGGCTCACTTATATTTTTCTCTGTTTGCTGGAATTTCGCTGTAAGTAACCGGACCGGGACTGTTTGAGTGGATGGACCGTTGATGTTTGCCTGGTTGCCGTTCATTGATGGAGGAAAGAACCTGCGGAATCTATAGCAGCCCCTTTGGGGGGAACGCTACAATAATATTCAATTCTTTTGTGTTTCTTAGGTTTGCAGAAGCCAAATCCCTGGGGGAAGAAGTGAACAATGTGAGGAACAGAATCAGTGAGTACCTGTCTTCTTAGTGGGGATTTGGGATTTGAATGCATTTATTTTGAAGTATATATGAACCCTCACCTTGTAAAACAATTCATTGTAAAATAGAAAAGAAAGGCAAAACATTTGTGTATAGATATAAAACACATCATACAGACTAAAGTGATCACATACCCTCTGTTCTCAGCTGCATAGGAAGCTCGGAGAGCTGGGGAAAGAGCACACTGGTCGTCCCGGTGAATGGCTGTGTAAGGGGGGGGGGGTGCATGTCCACACACAAGTCTGATCATTGGAGGAGAGCAGGCTGAGTTCCCAGTACAGCCAGAAATCTAACCACGCTGTGTTCTCATGCCTAGTGTGGTCAGTTTAAATTAACCAGAGGGACTGGCAGGAACACCGAGGATTTCACACCAAGGAAGCAATACAAAGAGAACAGGAGACTTTTTTTAACCACTTCAAGTCCAGACACTTTCCCCCCTTCCAGTCCGGACACTTCCCCCCCCTTCCAGTCCGGACACTTTTCCCCCCTTCCAGTCCGGACACTTTCACCCCCTTCCTGTCCAGACACTTTCACCCCCTTCCAGTCCAGACACTTTCACCCCTTCCAGTCCAGACCACTTTCACCCCCTTCCAGTCCGGACACTTTCACCCCTTCCAGTGCCGGACACTTTCCCCCCTTCCATCGTTTCCGGACACTTTCACCCCCTTCCAGTCCGGACACTTTCACCCCCTTCCAGTCCAGACACTTTCACCCCCCTTCCAGTCCGGACACTTTCCCCCCTTCCAGTCCGGACACTTTCACCCCCTTCCAGTCCAGACACTTTCACCCCCTTCCAGTCCAGACACTTTCACCCCCTTCCAGTCCGGACACTTTCCCCCCTTCCAGTCCGGACACTTTCCCCCCCTTCCATGTCCGGACACTTTCCCCCCCTTCCAGTCCGGACACTTTCACCCCCTTCCAGTCCGGACACTTTCCCCCCCTTCCAGTCCGGACACTTTCCCCCCCTTCCAGTCCGGACACTTTCACCCCCTTCCAGTCCGGACACTTTCCCCCCCTTCCAGTCCGGACACTTTCCCCCCCTTCCAGTCCGGACACTTTCCCCCCCTTCCAGTCCGGACACTTTCCCCCCTTCCAGTCCGGACACTTTCACCCCCTTCCAGTCCGGACACTTTCCCCCCTTCCAGTCCGGACACTTTCACCCCCTTCCAGTCCGGACACTTTCACCCCCTTCCAGTCCAGACACTTTCCCCCCCTTCCAGTCCGGATACTTTCACCCCCTTCCTGTCCCCAGGCCCAATTTTCAGCTTTCAGCGCTATCACACTTTGAATGACAATTGCGCGGTCATGCAACATATGAATTGTTTAGCATTTTTTTGAGACAGATAAAGCTTTATTTTGGTGGTATTTATTCACCGCTGGGATTTTTATTTTTTTTTTTGCTATGTAAATGAAAAAGTCCAAAAATTTTGAAAAAAAAAGTGTTTTTTCTTATAACATTTTGCAAATAAATAATATTTCATCATAAATCTTGGCCAAAATTTATTCCATTATCTTTTTAGTATAAAAAAATAACCCAAATTAGTTTATAACCAAAAATTATAATTGTTTAAAAATTTTTTTTACATTTTTATTTTTTTTTTTTATATTAATATTTATGTTTTTTGTTTGTTTGTTTTTTTTACATACTGTCACCCTAGCAGTACCATGGTGACACTGTACTACTTGTGGGGGGTGATGAAGATTTTTTTTTTTTTTTTTACACTGATTGCTTTTTACACTCATAAAGGCTGTAAGAGGAATCATTTCTCCTTCTCTCTGGCTGCATTCCTGCAGCCATTGAGAAATACTGTGAGAGCTGTGATTGGTCACAGCTTGTCACATGGTACAAGGCTGTTGTGTATGGCCCTGTACCATGTGATCTCTATGATCCTTCACAGATTTCACACGTAGTAAGCAATGATGTCAGAAGTGACATCTTGCTTATTACTCTGCATGTGATCACTGATTGGCCAATCAGTGATCACATGATCGGGATCTCACACAGAGGTCCCGTACAGAGATCGGTGTTCCACCGGAAGACACAGTGGGCACCGGATCCTTGTGTTGCGTGCTCCCAGGGAGCACTCATAGTCCAAAATGGTGGGCGCTGTTTATGAATGGCAACCCGCCCCTGGACTGCCACTGTCCTGCTGTTTATATACAGCGGGCCGGACGGCAAGTGCATGTCAGGAATATGAAATGTTTGGAGTTACATATTTAATGTTTATTCAGGAACTTGTGACTTCACTGAGCAAGGAGCCAAAAACTGAGTATGAAGCCCTCAGCAATGTGGAGTATAGGTGTATATTGTAATATATCAATATACGTAAACGTGCTTATAGACGAGTAAACCCGCGCATGCAAGTAAACGACCGCGCTCAAATGAGAAAATATTCTAACTTTGTTTTACTGCTCTGTACTCAGCGCTGGATCACTGATCTGTACTCAGCTGTGTGTGTAACGTCCCATAGACTTTCTCTCCCCGGCGCCGGCATCTTCAGTGTGGTCACCCGGATGTGACAGCTTGCGGCTTCACCACCGGGTGCCAACTGCGCATGTGCGAGAAGAGCTGCGCTTTGTGAATGCCCCGTAGTCTTGTGGAACCTGTCACATGTCCCACAAGACTACGGGGAGAGAGGGGGAGGACACATTCCGCTTCTGATTGCCTTAGGCGATCGCAGCGGGGAGTAACTGTCAAATTCGGGTACCTGCTCCCCCCCCCTCAGCAAATCCCTCCACTGGCCTCCACTGAGTGTCCTCCACCCCGCTCTGCCAATCCCTCCACTGGCCTCCACTCAGTGTCCTCCATCTGTCCTGCCATCCCCCACTGGCCTCCACTGAGTGTCCTCCATCTCTGCCATCCCTCCACTGACCTCCACTCAGTGTCCTCCATCCCTCTCTGCCAATCCCTCCACTGGCCTCCACTCACTGTCCTCCATCCCTCTCTGCCAATCCCTCCACTGACCTCCACTCAGTGTCCTCCATCTCTCTCTGCCAATCCCTCCACTGGGCCTCCACTGAGTGTCCTCCATCCCTCTCTGCCAATCCCTCCACTGACCTCCACTCACTGTCCTCCACCCCTCTCTGCCAATCCCTCCACTGACCTCCACTCAGTGTCCTCCATCTCTCTCTGCCAATCCCTCCACTGGCCTCCACTGAGTGTCCTCCACCCCTCTCTGCCAATCCCTCCACTGACCTCCACTCAGTGTCCTCCATCTCTCTCTGCCAATCCCTCCACTGGCCTCCACTGACTGTCCTCCACCCCTCTCTGCCAATCCCTCCACTGACCTCCACTCAGTGTCCTCCATGCTCTCTCTGCCAATCCCTCCACTGGCCTCCACTGAGTGTCCTCCATCCCTCTCTGCCAATCCCTCCACTGACCTCCTCCACTCAGTGTCCTCCATCCCTCTCTGCCAATCCCTCCACTGGTCTCCACTGAGTGTCCTCCATCCCTCTCTGCCAATCCCTCCACTGACCTCCACTCACTGTCCTCCACCCCTCTCTGCCAATCCCTCCACTGACCTCCACTCAGTGTCCTCCACCCCTCTCTGCCAATCCCTCCACCGACCTCCACTCAGTGTCCTCCATCCCTCTCTGCCAATCCCTCCACTGACCTCCACTCAGTGTCCTCCACCCCTCTCTGCCAATCCCTCCACTGACCTCCACTCAGTGTCCTCCATCCCTCTCTGCCAATCCCTCCACTGACCTCCACTCAGTGTCCTCCATCCCTCTCTGCCAATCCCTCCACTGGCCTCCACTGAGTGTCCTCCATCCCTCTCTGCCAATCCCTCCACTGACCTCCACTCAGTGTCCTCCATCCCTCTCTGCCAATCCCTGGCCTCCACTGAGTGTCCTCCATCCCTCTCTGCCAATCCCTCCACTGACCTCCACTCACTGTCCTCCACCCCTCTCTGCCAATCCCTCCACTGACCTCCACTCAGTGTCCTCCACCCCCCTCTGCCAATCCCTCCACTGACCTCCACTCAGTGTCCTCCACCCCTCTCTGCCAATCCCTCCACTGACCTCCAATTAGTGTCCTCCACCCCTCTCTGCCAATCCCTCCACTGACCTCCACTCACTGTCCTCCATCCCTCTCTGCCAATCCCTCCACTGGCCTCCACTGAGTGTCCTCCATCCCTCTCTGCCAATCCCTCCACTGACCTCCACTCAGTGTCCTCCATCCCTCTCTGCCAATCCCTGGCCTCCACTGAGTGTCCTCCACCCCTCTCTGCCAATCCCTCCACACAAACCCCACTGCATAGGAAAATAAGAAATTTGCCCGGAATGTTTCTTTAGCCCGGGTTCACACCATGTGCCATACATTTTGTTCTTTCTCAAATCGCATCACATCCACACCAAAAAGGTGTAGGACCCTTTTTTAAATCCACACCTGAATCACTTCATATGGGTGCTATCACCCATGCAATGCGATTTCTGGCAATCGCATGGCGTTTTGCGATCTGTTTCCGGGGTGTCATTAATTTATCATTGACCCCCCACACCAGATCTTTAACAATTTAGTACTTCTGCGCTATATAAATTCAAAATGTCACATAAAGATAAATAGCAACAAGAAAGCAGCCAGCACAGTATCACAGGTATCAGTATATAAAACAGAAAAAGTACGGCGCTATAAATAAAGTAAAAAAACTAAAATAAAATTCCAATGATTTCCAGCAAAAATATAAAGTCTCTCGCGACAAATATAAATTCAAAAAATCGCCATGGGAGTCCACCATCACCAGCACCTCAGAAAATACTGCCTCTTTCCAGACTGAATTGACCCCACAATTAAGTGCGGGTCAAGAAAAGCGTAGTGCGGATATCAAATTAGGATGACAAAATCAAAATCTTTTGACTCTGGAAGGATAAGATGATATCCAAGTGTTGGATGTAGATAGACGCCTGTTGGTTGCCGCTCAATGGATTCCCAAATCAAGGCCTTAACTCTCGACCGATATTCCAGGTAATTTGCCAAATATAGACTTAAAAAAAGGAATTATCCTCAAAGAGGACAAAATCATCCAAAAAGCAAAATAATCATCATAGTGTAGTATAATTAGAAGGATTTATTGCCTTACAACATTATTATTATACAGGATTTATATATATTTATATATATTATTATTATCATACAGGATTTATATATATTTATATATTATTATACAGGATTTTATATATTTATATATTATTATTATTATTATTATTATTATTATTTATACAGGATTTATATATATTTATATATTATTATTATTATTATTAATATTATACAGGATTTATATTTATATTTTTTATTATTATTATCATACAGGGTTTATATTATTAATATTATTATAATACAGGATTTATATATATTTATTATTATAATTATAATTATTATTATTATTATCATACAGGGTTTATATTATTATTATTATTATTATTATTATTATTATAATACAAGATTTATATATATTAATATTATTATTATTAATATTTTTTTATACAGGTTTTATTTATATATATTATTATCATACAGGGTTTATATTAATATTATACAGGATTTTTATATATATTTATATATATTATTATTATTATACAGGGTTTTATTATTATTATTATTATTATTATTATACAGGATTTATATATATTTATATATATTATTATTATTATTATTAATATTTTTTATACAGGTTTTATTTATATATATTATTATTATCATACAGGGTTTATATTATTATTATACAGGATTTATATATATTTTATATATATTATTATTATTATCATACAGGGTTTATATATTTATTATTATTATTATACAGGATTTACATAGTGCCAACAGTTTGCTCAGCGCTTTACAATATAACGGGAGACAATACAGCAACAATACAGTTCAATACAAGAGGGTTAGGAGGGCCCTGATCCTGGGAGCTTACAATCTAAGAGGGAGGGGCTGATCCTGGGAGCTTACAATCTAGGACAACGTAGTATTAAACGTACATCAAAAGACAATTAAAACAGCATGTTACCATATAGCCAAATGGTATGTTTCTAACCAACAAGATGGCCGCCACGTTACGGTGCGTGCTGACGTCAAGCACT